GAAGGTTTTTGAGGAAAACATTCCAGGATTTTTCTCCATATAATGGACTTCAATGGGGACCAACGTGCTGAAGGTCCAAATCACAGTTTCAGTGCAGCTTCAAAGAGCTCTACAGGATCCCATCCGAGGAATCTTATCTAGAAACCCTCGCTCGTTTTCTTTATAAAACAAAACACATTTATATACTTTTTTAACCACAAATGCTTGTCTTGCACTAGCTGGACTTCACGCATGATGTAATCACGTTGGAAATAAACAGAAACAGCGCTGTGAATTGGAATGATGGCGCAATATGGCTCAGTGTGCATTGTCCCGTATGGCAATTTCAAAGGCCAACTAAAAAAAATTGGAAAATTGAAAAGTTGTCAGAATTTGTATTTTGCTAAAGCAGTACCTCTATTATAAAGATTGTATGTCCGTTTTAATGCATCATGTACGCTGGCCGAGAAACAGCGCCATAAATTTGGCTGATGGCACAATATTGCTCAGTGTGCGTTGTCCCATATGCTAAATTCAAAGGCCAATCAAACAAAACTGGTACAGTGAAAAATGCTCAAAATTTGGATTCTGTTAGGGCCGTATACCTTCAGAATAAAGGCCTTTTGTCCAGTTTAATGCATCATATGTGGGCCGAGAAACAGCGCCGCAAAATGGGCTGATGGTGCAATATGGCTCAGTTTGCATTGTCCCATATACCTAAGGCCAAATAAAAATAAAGTACAGTAAAGAGTGATCAAATTTTGGATTTTGTTAGCACAGTACCTCTTGTATAAAAGCCTTATGTTAATAAGTATGCATTGGAAACATCTTGGAAAAAAATATGTAAAAAAATTTTTTGTATGTATGCAAATTGTACAATACCACATTTCTAGTAATTGTGCAGTTAATTCTCATATTGTATTTTCAGAAAGTTTTGGAATATTTTTCCTCTCCCCAAATTTGTCACTACTGAAACACAGTAATATATAATTGAATTAATAGGGTTATATTGACATATTAAGATTTTGTTTACATCTAATACAGCTAATTTTACTAGTTTATAGCTAATCAGCACATGGTTAGCTAGCACAGTTCTGAACAGTTTGTAAACGCATAAAAACTAAATGTTATGGAATAACACCCAAAAAAGTGTGCTTAATTACAAAAAAAAAAAAATTAAAAGGAAAATATGAAAAATATATATTTTTTAACTTCATTTTTTTTTTAAAAATCACAAAGATATTTTTTAAAACAATTGAATAAAATGCAAACAGTTTTTCAGTATCATTTTCATAAGCATAAATTTAGGGTTTAGGGTTCGGGACAGCCACCTCCCAAATAAATGATGATTTAATAAATATTAAGCTTACTGATATTATTGTGTGTTTCAATAGAGAACAGAAGGATCTTAGTAAACATGTAAGATTTGAATAATTAAATGCTTCATAAATGTGTTGTTGTTGGTGGGACAGCAGTTTGCACCAGTTCTGTAGAATGACCCACATACAGCACTGTGATAGACTGACCATTAAATTATAAGCTAGTTTTTGCTTTAAAACACACATTGTCCTTCTACTTCCCTGATTCGTTTAACAATAACAACAATAAGTGCAGATCCACGCACAATCGAACGGCTAATATAGTCCACAACCAGTGTTGGGAGGAACGCGTTACCAAAGTAATGCATTACAGTAACGGATTACTTTTTGCTGTAACGCAGTAGTGTAAGGCATTACTAATCAATTTTCAGTAATATTTTACTCGGTACATGTTCAGTAACGCTTGCGTTACAACACACTTTTAGCCCAAAATTTAATTGTTCAAAAAAAAAAAAAAACAGACCGACCGCGAGACATTAACGAATTAAAACTGCCGCAAGTAAGTTCTATTTCCTGTTCGTGGTCAGTCAATAGCCGCGTGTCCACGTTTGTAAATAAAGACTAAACGACAGCTTCTGATATATTTGTTTAGCGATGTTTTTCATTCATCTCTCTCTCGCTGGTGGAACTTTGTATTGTGGGACGTAGTCCAGTGGAGGCGTGTTTTACAGGATTTCGGCCTCTGTGCTCGAGGTCCGAGGCTATTAGCCCCGCTGTTGGATCGTTTGTGATTCTGGCTGTCATCCTTTCTTGCATTGTCTTGAGCCTTCACTTTGCCGATTATAAACTATATTGTTAGTAGCCTGGATAGCCCACAGTCATTATGCTACACCATATCGCCCTCTACTGGATGAAAAATGCTCTGCAGTACATTTTGTCATTTTAGAATGTTAAGTTCTGCTTCTGTAGTTATTTTGGTGAAAGTAACTCAAAAGTAATACAGGAGTCATGTAACGCATTACAATTCTGAGACAGATTAATAATAGATTAATAGACAACGACAAGTAATCTATAATGTATTACAGTTTGGAAGTAACTTGCATAACACTGTCCACAACCCACTGAAACTTCGATTAGAACTACAAACTACAAACACGAATAAAGTGTTAAAAACTACAAACATGGCGGAAACGCGTGACCGACGGCTCAGCAGAGAGGCGTGATTATTAATCAATTGTAGTTATTTTGGTGAAAGTAACTCAAAAGTAATACAGGAGTCATGTAACGCATTACAATTCTGAGACAGATTAATAATAGATTAATAGACAACGACAAGTAATCTATAATGTATTACAGTTTGGAAGTAACTTGCATAACACTGTCCACAACCCACTGAAACTTCGATTAGAACTACAAACTACAAACACGAAGCAAGTGTTAAAAACTACAAACATGGCGGATCAGCGAGACCGACGGCTCAGCAGAGAGGCGTGATTATTAATCAATCTAATCTGCTGGAAAACATGTATTTGATGTTATCCGCGTTATATTTCACGTGCAAATTGAAAAATGTTATCGCAGCTTTGTGTCGCTCTCAGGAAGGCCGTGAGACTGAAATATGAAGACGCGCCGCTGACGTCACGCGTGACGTGTTTCCGTTTGCGTGAGGCGCGAAGGTTCTTTGTGTTTTTAATAAAGCTCAGATCGTTCCCGCGCTTCATTTGGCTCTCGCTCGCGTTTAAAGGTAAGTGGTTGTAAGCTGAGCGTGTGTTATTCGTGAGAAGCGCGTCGATGTGTGTTGGTCACCGTCGCTGTGAGCGGTGTGGCGCGGAGTGAGTCTCTGATCGGATCCGTGTTCAGTCATACTTACCTGGCAGGGATGACTCCATGATCAAGCAGGTGGATTGTCTAGAGTGAGGAGCAGCCATTGCACTCCGGCGCTCTGACTTCTATGAATTCTCCACATGTGAGAATCTCAACTGCATAATTTCTGATAGTGGGGACTGCGTTCGCGCTCTCCCCTAATACTCTGGTGAAAAATAATGGGTTTATCATATATATATATTCGACAAACAGGGCGTATGTTCGTTTTAAGTGTACTGATGTTATTTCGTGTCTCTTATGTTAGGTTGCAGAACATGTAAGGTTGGAAGACCATTATTTCCAACACTATTAAGTTTGCCCCGATGTAGAATAGTGATGGGCAGTTCGGATCATTTTACCGACTCGGACCTTTGAAGCTCGTTCAGCAAAATGAACGAATCTTTTTTCCGAGTCATTTCTTTTAGGAGTCGTGGTAGTAGAGGCGGCGCAACTATAACGACATGTGAATAATCCCGCCCACTGTAAAGCGCTACTGAACTGCAGTGGAAACGCAAACCGTGCCGAGCCGAACCGTGCCGTGCAAAGCCGA